AAATAATTCTGACATACGCTGATGAGAAAAAGGTGAGTTGTGGTGAACTCATTGTAAAAGTTATTTGTGAGATACCCACTTCTGTAAGGTAAACTTCTGTAATTTATTAAGTACACTAATGTTTAACTTGCCAATTTATTTTGTAGTTGCAATTATGTGCCACCTTCATATGGTCTTGTCTAACAAAAAATTTACTTCTCTGCTTGTTTTTTTTTTTTATGCAGCATAACAAAATATGAAGGAAGACTTTACAGCATTGGCATTTACATCTTTTGGGCTTGAAAACAATTGAAAAAACTGTTGCAAAGCATGAGGTCACATTGCAATTTATAGGCTGCATTGCAGGGCTTTTTTTTTTTTTTTGGAGGGCAGGTGGAAGAGTTTCACCCCTCCCACCCCTCAAGAAAAAAAAGATTTTCAATTTTGCATATTTGTATATACATACCCACATACGGATGCAAGCATGAATGAGCACAAAAGGTGGCCGAGTTCCCCTCTGCCCTCCCCACCAAAAAAGAAAAAAAACTAAGGAAACCTATCCTTACTACTGAATGCTGTGTGTGTGTACAGGCATGACTGCTCAGTCTGTCATTGGAATATACTACTATTCTATGTACTTCAAACATTAGTTGCTTTTGTTACTTTTCTTTCATTTAAATTAAAAATAGGTGTGTTGACCATGGGAATAATTTAGCAAAAGACCTTGCTATTTATCATTAACCAAAACTGCTATGCATGATACATGTTTATGCTTTGTTTATATACTGTCTGTCTCTCACAGTTGAGTTCTACTTGTTTGATGTAACTTCCTCATTTGTGTGAAGTGCACATATTTTGTTTCACTTAATTTCAGACCCGATTCACTTCATTGTAAGTGAGGTGGTGTTGGTTTTGACCACAATAGATTTTTGTACACTTATTTGTGCAAGTTTCCTAATTTCAATGTTTTGCACGGCTGCATTAAACTGGACATTGGTGGAAATTTAACATATGACATCTTTTTTTTTCTTTTAGTGATGTCCAATTTACGCATATATTGCACTAAGGTGCAACCACTGTTGTAACCTGTATGATACAGCACCACTTGTGCATATGCATATGCTAATGCTGAGAATTATGGGCCTGTTGCATTGTCTGCATTTATTCAGTGCGAGAAAGTGTTGAAGCAAGGAATAGCAATCAAACATGTTTGGAAATTACTGTGTCTATGTACTGCCTTTAGTACACATGCATTCATGTGGCAGCATACCATACGTTCACTGCGACATGGATGTTCCATCCGTTTATCCCAGTTGAATATTCTGCATGGCTGTCTTGCCCGTGCAAGTGAGAGTGTACAAGAGCAAGTTGTTTACGGGAATAAATTCTGTACATAATATTTGTGGGTAAATTGTACATTGGATGGTTTTTACAAGGGAATCAGTGGTACTGGAGCTTCCAGAAATATTTAGTAGAATATATCTGTGAAATGGCTGACAGAAAAAGGGTGTACTTGAGAATGTGTCTTGTGGTTTTATGAATTGATTCTCGCTCATTGGAGAATGAAAGGTTCATGCAGTGATGAGATTGTGGTATTTCAGTGTCACCATTGTGTAAGCAGTAATTTTTACAGTCTAGAAATTAATCTTCGTTTCGAATGTAGTTAGTAATGTGCCCTCACAAGCAAGCCCCAAAGCACATTCACAGAATGCCTTAAGGTATGAAGTCAAGTGGAAAATGCCATTTTTTTTTTTCTTCATAGATTTTTTTTTTGTCATGTCAAATGCGCAATTCGTGCCCATTATTTTGCTGCACTAAGTTTCTGTCTACTTAGATTTTTTCGAAAGATACAAGCAAAAATGTCAACACATTTCTGTCCATAAAAGTCAACTTCTCACCAGGTGAACGCGTAGTGTGGCACATGTGTTGTTCACACTGAAGGACACGTATGTGAGCGTGTAAGTAACCGAATTTACTTCATTTGATGCTGTGTGCCATTTCAATAACGGCAAAAGAAGCTCATATGATATTTTACACCTAATTCCGATCAATCCAGACCTCTCAACTGCAAAAGCTTGCCTCACAAATGATCAGCACCGCAATGCGAAAGCGTCCTGTCATGGCACTGATGCGGCAATACAAGCTAGAAAAAGAAAACTGCAGAGTTGTCGCCCGAGCAGAGGTCCACGATGGAACTGGTTACAAATATTGAGAATCGTCAAATACAGCAATGGATGTGCCGCTCCAAACTGCTCCAAAAGAGGATTGCTGCCCCATACTGCTCCAAACAGCAATTTTCGTTAGTAATTGCTCAAAACCTGTTTTGAAATGACACTGAGAGAATGAGAATGGCAAAACGTTTGCTGTTTGACTGACTCGCAAGTCCTAAAACAGAAAAAGAATCCGGGTGCTACTAGTGTGCAGAATTATTGGCTCTGATCTCATATGTGCGACAATAATTGGTATATTAAGCATATAGCTCATTTGGCTGTTTTTTTTTTTCTCAGCTAGACATGCAGGCTAATGTGGTGAAATGTCAAAATGAGCAGGATTGCTTTTATCTGTCTATCATAATCATATGGTGGTTTTGGGACGTTAAACCCCACAAATCAAATCAACATTAAAAGAATGACATCACATACTTGTTTCTCAGCAAGTTTTAATAGATGCAAAGAATGAAAAATGCTCTGTGATAGATACATCTGGAGTGACCTATCACAAAGCCTCAACGATGGTTGACGATTCTGCGGAAAAGGATTTTAGTAGTAATGTCAGGGCAATGTCGATTGTGGTTGCGGTGTTCGCTATAGCTGCTTTGATAACAATGCAGTAGGTGTTACACATACACTACAATGACTCTATACTTAAGCGTTGCAAGTACCATAGCATGCAGTTCACTCGATATAAAACTTGGATATGTGGTTTAGTCTGTGCAGCCATAATGATAAGATAATGCGCTAGCCTTTAGGTGCCAGTGAATTCCACGTCCCTCGTGAGCCCACAATTTGATGAACTACTGAACTCAAAAGCATATATGTATATATAACGTAATGCTCTGCTCAATGCACAAAATGTACCGTTACATGAACTCGATTCCCGCGTCATGTGCTAGATCCACTGAAATTTTCCAGTTTTCTTTAGTTGCCCAGCATCTAACCTTACCCCCCCCCCCCCCCCCCCCCGCCCCGGCACACACACCTGTGTTTAATTTGATCTTTAAATGCTGGAATGCTCGATTTGTAGTGCTGGAAGGATAACGGAAAAATAAAGGAAGTGAATAACAAACATACCTCTTTTTTTTTTACTACTTCAAAGCTGGCTCTACCATATTTGTTAACTTGGAAAGGGACCCAACCTATTAGACTTATTTTAGCCCTGTTAATGCCCGACGTTTTACATCCCCAAAACCACAATATATAGGAATGCCCAACTGGAAGGCTCGAGAAATTTTGATGATCTGGTTGTTCTTTAACATTCACTTACATAGCACAGCACATGGACCTCTGTGGCATTTCACCTCCTTTGAAATATGGCCGCCGCGGTCGGGATCGAACACGCGTCACGAATTGGTGTAAAAAAAATGTAATTAAATATTTTAAATCTGTATACAAAGCTGAATATTCTCTGAAAACATTGTGTGTCTAGGACCAATAGTAACGAATTTCGCTCTCTAGACCCAGACAGGAAACTTGAGCGAGGAACACTTTTCCCTTCGCAGTAAATTAGTAAGATGCCTATTATTTCAAAGGCTTTTGTTCTAGCAATACCGGTTCTTGCGGAGTCTTGTGCCCTATAATACAACAGTGGGCAGCACAAAAAGTGAAAATGTGGACTGGTCGGCTGAAACTGCATCACCGCATGGCCAAGGCGCCGTTTCGTAGACAAAATAAGCAATCGAGGAGCTCAGTGGTGCGTAACGTTAATGTACAAGCTTTTGTCAGACTGCGCATATAATGGAGATTGGTCAGGCGAGGGAAACAGGTGCAAGGTTGTTTTTTTTTAATGGAGGGTCTCTACGGCATGCAGCGCTGTAATACTCGGCGAATGTGATTGCCGCGATATTCTGTACGAATTGGTGAGCTTGTTTGGGGGGTGTAAAAAGAAAAAGGCAGAGCCTGTTTACTGGCCCTTTAAGTTGTTCATGTTGAGGTCAATGAATTAAAGGTATGTGAGTCTCTATCTTCAAAAATATCAAACATGTATTTCAACTTGACATTTCATTTGATTGTCTGTTTAGTGTTGTTTTCCCCTGCATTCATGCAAGGCTGCACCAAGCACACTACACTGTTGTGCCTGAGTTGGTCACCTGTCGCAAACTGAACGTGTAATAGTACTTTGCTGGTGTGCATCATCCACATAGTTTCCAAAACTATCAATATGTTTGCCGGCTAAACACCTTGGCAGTCGGTGTTTGGTGTTTAGTCTCTTGAAACTGCTTCAGAATGCGCTACCTCTGTATGCTTGTGCTGTGTAGGTATTGCAGCTTCCATAGGGTGCCACCACCTGTAGACATGGAACCTAAGCCAAAAGTGGACCAAAGCATTCAAAGAAAATACTCGAGATCAGGGCATGTGCTGACTTAGTTTCGTACCCCCCTGTGTAGCTTCCAGCATACTTGTCGGGATGACAGAGGAAAGGAAGCACTTGGCTTGTGACAAGCTCCTGCAACTTCGCCTATACTTCATAGATTTGAAAAACATTTTGTGTCAAGGCATGAATGAGGTAGTGAACTCTTAAAATGAAGCCATTTGTTGATTACTTCAATAGATGGTTTACAATCAACACTGATTGAAAGTTGCTAGAAATATGAGTGTTTTGCCATCATTAGTTTCATTTCTATTAGAAGTGTAGTACAATTCACCCTGTTGCTAAAAAAACAGGTCTTCAAATATGTGCCACAAATTTCTGAATTCTTTTGTTCTGCTGTTGTCATGCTTTGTGTTATCTAGCATTGTTTGTTACTGTTGTCATGCTTTATGAAACCACTAAGTACTGTTTTTGTGCGTCTTTGTGTTCAATAGTGCGGGACCAAAGGGAGATAACCTCTATGAATGGGTATCAACTATTCTTGGCCCCCCAGGATCAGTGTATGAAGGTGGAATTTTCTTCTTGGACATACACTTCAGCCCAGAGTATCCTTTCAAACCACCCAAGGTAATCCTGTTACATTACATTGCATTTTCCCGCCCTTCTTTCTCTGTTTTACACTGTTGATTAGCTGTTCATACTGGGTTCACCAGTGGTGAAGTTGTGAATTGTGCTGTCTTACACATCAGGATCATCAGTCCAATACTTGGTAGACATCACTTCATCCTGATTTAATATGACAAATTATTTGCCAATATGACCAGATATTTACTTAGAAGAAATTATTCAAAACTTATACACTTTATAAATGCAGGCAAATTAATCATGACAAAATAAAGAAGTTGTGCAATATGATTTTTTTACATGAGCAATTAGTTTCTAGGCGACTCATGTGAAATGCTGAGCAATATTTGAAGGTAAGCAGCTGATTAGTTGGCAACACTCGTGAATTCAAATACTACGCACGCCTCTGTGATTGCTTCAGAGCATACCACGTTCCTCATTTATGTGTGTGTGTTAATGTATGTATTTGTTTTCAAAAAAGTGCAAGCCCACCTCAGCATTAATATCATATGAAATTTTGAATCCAGCTCTTGACCAGTGAATTTGGGGTCATCCATTATAAAAAAGGGGCAACTTTAGCTCTCTCTAGTTTAATGTCAGGCCATCTTCTCACCAGCCCAACCCACTTTTTTTTCCTTAAGGACATGGCTTCACAAGTGCATATTATTTTACGCATACATCAGTTTCCAACACAGGATGGCACCGCCTTTTCATGGTCTTTGAGCATCAAGAATATTAGCTGCAGTAACGTAATTTGCTGCGTTACTGCATATGTGTTGAGACAAAGGGGGACACAAGTATTTTGGACAAAAAAAAAACGTGAAAAATATTTGGAAAATCGCAATTTCGAGATGTAAAGGTATTTTTGCACTGTCACATGAATTTTCTCAACTGCTGATTTAATATTTTTGCCATAGCGTAACTTTACTTTATCAATTCAGCAGAATTACGGCCGAAGTTGAAGCTATGAAGGCACTTTTTTCACAAAACACTGCTGCCGCTTCTGACGTTATAGCGTGGACATCTTGATGTCATTTGAAAAAGCAGTCTTCTTCAATTTCCCGCCAACTGCAATTCTGTACTGGCATTGGCTCTTTAAAAATTCTACACAAAAAAGAAAAGAATAAAAAGGGAGTCTCAATGCGATCTCTCATTTGTTGTTTAGCGCATGTGACCTGAGTTCTGCGTACAATTGGCACAATTTTTTTCTCGTAGTCTGCTTGGCGCTCATCCGCGCTGTCATGTTTTCTATGAGTAAGTGACTGATGCAGCTAAGACCCATGGTTCATAAGAAGGTCCACACTGGAAAGGCATTCTATGCAAAAAAGATGCGGTGAGCACTTATTGACATCTGCAAGCGGAGTGTAATGTAGCCGAATGCCGAAGTTGTTGCGACTGACGCTGATATAAGCCTAGGCCTAACAAGCCCATGATTGTGCGGAGATCCTGAAGGTCCCGTGTGTCGCGATGTGAAGTCTCTGCAGTTTTCAGAATTAAAGGGGGCAAAAAAAATAGCTGAAGATAAACTGCAGCTGCTGTCGTCCACCCCATAAAGGAAACAAGATCTACTGACTGACAGCGATGATGCCGCACATGAGCCTTTTGAGGGAGCTGTTTACAGTTGGGAGCTTGGCCTTGCTTGCACAGTTGAAGTGCAAAATGTGCAGTGCTGGGGACCTAGAAATCATCAGAGACGATTGTGAATACAGACTCAAAATGTGCGGTGCTGGGGACCTAGAAATTATCAGAGAAGATCGTGAATACAGACTGATTATCAACCTCCATCAAGTTCGCCTGATGTGCACGAACTATGGTGACATGTCGCGGGCGTGGAGCTCGCCGCGTATTTGTGGTAAACGTAAATCTGACCCGTTCTTTGTGAATGATCTCACCACTTGCACTATGCAAGCTATTGGTAACTGTGAAACAGCTGTCAACGATATATTCTCGATGTTAAATGTTAGTTTTCGCAGCCTCTTCATGAAGATGTGGCAAAGTTACCTCGAAGGAAAGTTGGCTCCTACAGCTTTTTGTGTGTCCCGTAATGTGGCAAGTGAATGCACGCGTTTAGTTCGTGAAGTTTATTAAGAATTATGCCCCAGGAATCCCAGAAACATCGTGGTGTTGTACGATGGGTCGTGGATGGTTCGTGGGCATTAGTCCGACATCGGCGTCGGCCCTGTGATCGAACTGGTCACGGTGCTTTGCTTTGACTATGTTGTCTTGAGCAATTTCTGTGCAGGGGCTCAAAAGAAGGTGATCTTTCTTTTGAAAGTTGGAAAAAAGATCACAAATGCCACAAAAATACAAAAAGTCGGGGGAAATAGAAGTGAAGGCAGCGTTTATCTTGTTCAAGCGGTCCCTCGAGCAGCACAGTCTCTATTCCATTGGCGTGCTTAGTGATGGGGACAGCAGGACCTACCTTGCTCTGCAAGAGAAACCTTACGGTTTTGTGAAAATTGACAAGGAGGACTGCGTGAACCATGTTCAGAAACATATGGGCACAGCGTTGCGCAACCTCATTTCAAGAAGCAAAACTTTGCCTTCAGAGCCTTGGCAAAAAAAAGGTCAGTTGATGGCAGACCTCATTATACGGCCGAGCTCTTACTACGGATGGGCACTGAAAACGCACAAGGGAGATGCTGATGCTATGCACGAGGCAGTGATGGCAATCTACCATCACATAACCTGAAACGATGCTGTGTTGATTCATTAATTTTGTCCAAGTCCCAGTTCCTTGTGCCGTCAAAATGCCGCAGTGTCTAGGGGCGTGCCAGCACTGAAACACCCATAGCCTGCCTCCTCATGTTTGTCAGGCCTTGTTGGCTATTTATGAACGCCTGAGCGACAAAAAAAAAGTTCTCGACAGATACCAGTTAGCAATGGCTTCGTAGAGCAACGAGAGCCTCCACTCAGTTGCACCAAAGGAGCATCATACCTCGCTTTCTACTGTGCAAGCAGCTGTGGCTGAGGCAATACTAAGATTTAATGCAGGAAACAACAGAGCAACTGAATCAACACTGAAGGGACTGACCCTAAGCCCCAGCACATTGTGCAGCAATCATGTGGCTGAAAAAAGAGGGTATTTGTGAATAAATCAGTGTTTGCACTTTTCTTGATTTTCTCAGAACAACCTTTTTATTCATTTTGCTTGCTTGGTGCAACAATATCAAAAACTCTAGAATAGCTACAGTTTATATATATATATATATATATATATATATATATATATATATATATATATATATATATATATATATATATATATATGTGTGTGTGTGTGTGTGTGTGATTCTGAATTGAATACTTCTTCTTTGATGGGCTCCTAAATTGCTTATAGTTGTTAGATTTGAAAACTACTTGCAGCTGTTCAATCTTTATACATTCTTCTTTGCATTAAATATAACTTTCTGTCCTGTTGATGTATCTATTCACATTAATTAATAGTATTGAACATATCTTTATTAGCATAACTAAATGAGTGATGGGAAAATACCGTATTTACTCGCATAATGAATGCACTCGCATAATAAACGCACCCCCAACTTCAGTCATGCAAATTTGAATTTTTTTTCCCGCGTAATAAACGCACCCCCTAAATTCATCTGCTACAGTCCCGCTAACCGGCACCTGGCGCCTCCTCACTCGTTTAATCTCTCTTGTTTTTTTTATTATTTTGCCGACCACCTCGGCCACTTAGGGTCACTGCCTCTTTCCCCCCCTCCCCTTGCTCGGTGCCGCATGCCATATTGTTTTTCTTTTCATCTGTGTGCAACACATCCCCTGTATTTTTTATCTGTGCACCACAGCGGGGTTCACGAATGATGCGAGGGTAAAGACATCGCAGCTGAAAAGCACACAGCGAGCGAAGGTCACGAAACTGCTCGCGCCAACCGACGGTTGCTTCCTGCGAATACGAAAAAGCCCAATCATATGCATGCGATTTTTGAGCGACGACAAAAGGATTTGCTGTCGCAAAGGGTCATTCGCCACAAGCAGCTGTCCGCGCAAATTATTGTTGTTCGTCGTGTTGCCCGCGTGCGTGTAACACGTGCGGGGCACGGCGTGTCCCCATACGGGTCTATCGTGTTGGCAATCTTTAGAAGGTGTGCACGCAATGCAGGTTCCATACCAGCACGATTACAGCAGCCACAGTTCACCAACAAGCACGCAACTGAGTCACAGCAACCGGAAGTAGGTGGTGTTTCAAGCAGTGCGTCAGTGATGTCGTATGCCACGCGAGATTGGGAGGGGCTCTTGGCAAGAGGGCAAAGCGGCGTGAGAGAGGATACCAGCAGAGGGAAGCGCAGGAGAGACTGAAAGATGTGGTCGTCACGGTTTCTATAATGAAACGCGTCAACTCCGCTATTACTGCACCGTTTCGAAAAATTTTCACGGCTCCGTGTTCATCGTACACTCAAGCACAGTTTCCTCACCATAACTGAATTGCGATCTCTGGGTGGTTTACGGGCCCTTTAAGACAACTGCAAGGCATACTGTGGAATTTGACGCGATTTCATGCCAAGACAGTAGTAATGTGCTTACTCGGATGTTTTCATTCAGAATCACAAGTTTGCTTATTTTAGAATGAGTGGGTACTGAAAGTTCATTTACACTTGTGCTTTTTTTTTTTTTTCAATGCTTTTTGAGATTTCTCGCTTTTTGAGGCTATGAGTGGGAGTCTCATCTCTTGGTCCTACTTCACTATGTGTACAGAAAGTCTCTTTAATTCAAGTTTTACAGGGATGCATGCTGAGTGTGAATTAAATTCTAACCAACAAAAGTGATGTGCAAAAGACATGATAAATGGCGTGGAAGCATATCTGGAACAATTGCTTTTTATTTTAAACATTTACACAATCATTTTTTTTTTTTTTGTCTTCTTATAAAGCAATCGGAGTCAACGCATGGCTCTGTTTAATGAATTCCTGCGATAAGCTCGCATTGCAAAAGTGCATCTGCCATCTAGCTGGCTCTACATAGTTGGTGGAGGGAGAGGCGAGGCTTTGCAGTACAGCAAAGTTATCTTGCTTTTCATGCATTTTATACCCTTGAAGAGCATCAGATGCTTTGTATATTTATTCAATACAAAGTGGTCTCATTCACAAGCATACTGCTGTACTCCTTTTTTATGACGATCAACATTCGTCCTATACTGTTTTCAACTGGTGTTGCATGTGTTGGTGACCGAGTTGCCTGGGTTAAGGCAATTTCTCTAAACTTTCTGCAGGTTACTTTTCGCACCCGCATCTATCACTGCAACATCAATAGCCAAGGAGTTATATGTCTAGATATCCTCAAGGATAACTGGAGCCCAGCGCTTACAATTTCCAAAGTTTTACTCTCAATATGCTCTCTACTCACGGACTGCAACCCAGGTAAGTAGCTATCTGCAGTCATCTCAACTAGCCCACAGGCTTAGCAGTGCTTTCGTTCTGAAAACGGGGTGTTAAACTTGTGTCTAGTTGCTGCTAATGTACAGTCTGTTTCAAACTCTGGGGAAATCTCGGAGCGCCATTGCATCGCGATGCGGCCTGAACTGTAGTGTTGAACCGTGTTGTCATCAGTGACAGCACTTCTTTTGCACTTTTTTTTTTTTTTTTTTTTTGTGGGAAGGGGGTAAAGAAGCATGCAAGACTGAAAAAAGAGTGGCCACGACACATTGAAGTTCTTGCACCAGCTTGCTGTGAATGGATTTCGACTGTGTACACTGTATTCTCTTGCACCAGTTTACTGTCAATGGATGACAGTGTATACTGTATTGCTTTTTTTTTTTTTGTTAAATGTGAAGTACATTGTATTGTAGAATAACCATCAGCAATATTAATGAATTTTCAGCGAGTGTTAATGGCTTGGGCATAAGTTCAAGTCTGTAATGTCACATTGATGTATTGGTCTTGAGTTGGACTCATAATCTGAAAATTAAAAGTTTGACTTCCGGAAATCATTAATCAGTGAGTTAAGAGCAAACCTCATAAGCGGGAAAATGCACGCGACAGCGACGAGCAATGCTATGAGCGACGAAACAGGGCGTTCGCGCGACGTGTCGCGTGCTCGTTTTTGCGCCATCGCTCGGTTCTCCAGATTTGGAAACCGTCGCTCATCGCCCGGAAGTGCTGGGCTCAAGCAGTCAATAGCGAAAAACCGGAAAAGACAGACTACATAGGTGTACGTGACCCTGCCCGAGTCACGTATGCGCAACAAGAAATAACGCAATGTTTAGGCATGTGCATATAAAAAAAGTGCTGCAAGGCATTCATAAACACTTTCCGTTTTATTACACAACAATATATCGTATTTTTAAATTGCATACCGCTCACTACGCGGTTTTCTTGGTGCGAGTAGACTGCCTCATGCCAGCAACAGTGAAGTTTTCTCGCCGAAGCCATCGCGTAAATGAGGTTAGCCTGCGCTAGCGACTGATCGCGCGAAGACAATCTACGTCGCGTCGCTGTCGCGTGCATTTTCGCGCTTATGAGGTTTGGGCTTGATACCACTAAGAAATTTATGAAAATGACATTTTGATGAAAATTCGAGATGAAAATCTGCCCCAAAATCGAATTTTCGTTCTCTCTATTTTCACCTTCCTGACGTGTTCCTGCACCTTTTTACAAAATTTGGTTTCACAATTTTGCACAAATTTTCAATTATCGCGATTTAAAGATACTGTGAGTGTTTTCTTTTAAAATGGGCACAAACACCCGGCATTTTCATCGCATGCCACTTTGGCATGGTACGCTTCATCGGCGCCATTTTCGTCTTCATAGCTCGGTTTTTAGACTTTTTTTTTTTTAGTTCATTTGGCAACCCTGTGCGTTGCCGTGAGGTGAGAAAAGGCACTCGCAAAAAAAAAAAACAGAACTTTGGCGCATTGCCATTCGTCAAATGAGGCACGTGATCAGAATTCTGTCATCTGGTTGGTCCAAGTGCCGTGCCGCCACCGTGCGCTGCCATGGTGACTGAGACGACATGTGCCTACAGCCATTGTGCTCGACTTTGCGCACAAAGTTTATCATGCATGGCAGTGCGAAAAAGGGGAAAAGTGCGTGCAAAGAACGCAACATCGTCGCAAACATCCGTTCACAGAGCATCGCCAGGCCACACCACTGACGCCGATAGTGCATAGACTCCAGTCGCGCGATTTACAAGCCACGCTTGTTATGTGAGATTAAATTCTGCACTCGTGACCGAAGAAGTGCGGGAGGCGCATGCACGAGAGTAAGCAGTGCTTTAACAGCTTAGATCAACACCAGCGACCACATGGAAGATTGAAAACTTCAGCCGACTAAGCGGCACAGGGACTTTAGCGACGGAAGATGCAGCTCCGTACACTGTCATTGACCTCGACACTGTCAATGATCTCGTTCTTCAAGCTATGCATTGTCTCATCTGCCGTGGAAAAGTCAAGCTAATCCACGGCGATCGTGAGTACGGTTTGGCAGTGAAGCTACACGTGATGTGCAGCAACTGCAGCGACATTGGGGATGCTTGGAGCTGGCGTCAAGTGGAGCGTTAGGTAATATTGAGACTATTTGCGGTAAACATGCTTGTGAGACGCCCAATGCTTTCCACTAGTAACAGCCAGTCTGCAATGAACGACATATTTTTCGCTATAGGGCTGTGCTGTCGAGCAATGCATAAGAAGACTTTTCAGCGGCATCTGAAAAATGGCTGAAGCCCGCTGCTACGCGAGCAGCTGAGGATGCTATGTGGCAGTGCACATAAAAAGTGCCATCACTCTTTGTGGACTTGTTTTGGACACCGTGGTAACATTGCATTGTGCTCTGATGAAAGCTGGATGACTCGGTCATTTTTCGCACATTAGCGTTGGAGCTGTTATTGAACCTTTTATTGATTATGTTCTGGACTACGCCGTGCTTTCAAATTTTTGTTTGGGCTGCAAGGTGGGACAGAAACCCGATAGCGAGAGCTATGAGCAATGGAAAGGTTCTCACCGCTGCCAGAAAAACACCAGTTGTAATTCTGATCAAATGGAGGTCGAGGAAGGCCTCATCCTTTTTCAGGGGTCCCTTGAGCGGTGCAATCTTTGATATACGACAGTTTTGTGTGATGGCGACAGCAGAACACACAATGTAATAAAGGAGGCCAAAGTTTATGGTTTCATTGACGTAGAAAAGAAGACTGCATAAACTATGGGCAAAAGTGAATAGGGACATTTTTGAGGAACTTAGCTCAAAGGCGAAAAATTGAAGGCCGCATTCTGGGAGGGAAGGGGCGACTCACTGTGGATCTCATCACCAGATTGAGAATGTACTATGGCCGTGCACTCAAGTCACATCAAGGAAATCTGGATGAAATGCAGCGAGCTGTGATGGCCACGTATCATCACGTTACATCTACTGACGAGTGCTCGAACCACAGTTTGTGCCCCACAAGTAAGCGGTCATGGTGCCAACACAATGCCGCTAAGGCCAAGGGTATTCATGAGCCTAAACACTGGTACAGCTTGCCCAAAGACGTCGCAGAGGCATTATTGCCTGTTTACAGACGTCTATCTGACTGTAATCTGCTCAAAGATGTCTTCGAATTTCAACTTTACTTTTCAGTTATTAGTACAGAAAAAGGAACAGCATATAAAGTATACATACAGGAGGAGGTCCGAAAACACATGGCTGCAGGGGACCTCTGGTTCAAAATGGGATTACAAAATTTACTCAATTAGCAGCACAGTAAAAGCTCGTTAATTCATATCACAGGGGGAAGCTGCCTCAGTTTGAATTAACGAAAGTTCGAACTAACGAAAGTAGAGAACAATAGTACACTGCGAGTAGGGCATAACAATTTATCGCGGTATGCCTTCTTTCCTTGAAGGCGACAGCCAGCGCTTTTTGCTCTAACGAGCGAATTTGGCGGAAGGCCTCTTCTCAGCCTTCTTCAAAACTTAAGAAAAGACTGGTGGCATTCAATCAGGCCATGACTTCAGCAGCAAAGGGCCGCACTGGTGCTTCGTCCTCATCATTGTCACTGGCAGCGACAGGTTCTGCACTTCTCACTTGACATATTATGTCGCCATCCGTGAGTGCACCACACATCACTGCACTTGAGTCCACATCGATGTAGTCCGCAAAGCAGACGTCTTCCAAAATGTCTGCCATGGGGGCGGTGACGCCGTGTTCGAGCACTGGTGGCTCGTCAGATTGCAGAGCTTCGGTGCTGAAGCCACAGTGGCGAAAGCAATTTGCTATCGTAAGCGCGGTCACTTGCTCCCAAGCACGCACAAGCATGTGTAGTGCACTTAAGAGCGTCACTTGGTAGTTATTGCACAAAATAATTTGTTCCAACATATGACGCGGATAAAATGATTTTAAATTTCTAATTATACCCTGGTCCATGGGCTGCAGTACCGCTGTCGTGTTTGCTGGAAGGAAGGCCAGCTTGTCATGTTTGCTGGAAGGAAGTGTTTTGGCACGATATTTGCCGCGGGCACACACCATCGAGTCGGAGCAGCAGAATCGTGACAGACGGGAAGCTACTACCGGCGCTACCGCAACAAACGTTAGCCGAGGCCTAACACCAACACAAAGAATCGCGACAGTCGGAAGCTACTCCCAGCACCAACAACCGAGGTGCACGACGCACGCCCGAGACAGACTGCAGAGAAGGCTGGGGGAAGCTACGATGCACCCGATTTTCTGTGTGCTGGTCATACCATCTGTGGTCTAATAGCGACAACTACGAAGGATTTTCAAAGGCTGGGAGATTGGCGCTTAAAAAAAAAACTTATCTTGGAGGTTACCGTATACACGCATGTAAGGGCCGCACCCGTGTAAGGGCCGCATCCTGTTTTTAAGAAGCACATATTAAAAAAAAAAGTTGCGTGTAAGGGCCGCATCCGCACTTTCCTTGACCCATACTTATTCAAAATGCGCGCGCGTGTGAGCTACTAGGCGTTGTCAGTAGATGGCGTTAGTGAACGCACTTATCATCAGCATATATTACGTCATTAGAATAATTTGTTGGTTTTCTTCATGCTAATATGTTCATGAAGTTGGCTAAAATTTTTAAGTTTTTTCAGTAGTGTTCCCGCCAACTAAAGGTTAAAGCGGGATTTTATCTTTAACTTCTAACACTTCTCTACAAACGTGCTATCCATATCGGCATTAGCATCACCAACTTTGGTATTTGTGCGTTGTTCGGTTATTGTGCTGTTCAGCCTGGCATGTGAGATTTGTGCACCGTTGAATGACTCTGGGACTCTAGCTAGTTTTCTGTGGGACGTTTACGTTTTGGCACGATGGGCAAGCAGCTGAATAGCTATACAGCTGGCTATAAGTTGAAGGTGATCGAGTTTGCTCTCGAGCACGAGAAACGGGCCGCCGGCAGAAAATTCTATGTTGACGAGAAGTGTGTTCGACGT